ACTGAGTTCAGTACAGCTAGATGGTGCCCGGCTACCACCACTGACTGCTCTGACCAGGATCACAACAGAGGGTTCTGGACAGAGCTGGAGAAGGATGTAAAACAAAATTCTAAAACATGAGACAAGACTGATTTACTGGCCTGAAAGAGACTGTAAACCCCAAGGGTGTGGCCCCCAGACACCCTTTTAGCTCAGTGGTGAAGTTACTCACGAGGTTCACCGTTCAGCTGGGGATTGGACAGCCCCATAAAACAAAATGGGAGTAATGAGGCACAGCAGTCCAGGAACAAGGACTAGAAGGCAGAAGGAGACAGAAAAGCTGGTGATAGGGTACCCAAGTTCGAGTAAGGACAGTGTTGACATGCTGTGGGGTTGTTAACCATTGTCATAGGGCAATATGTATACTAACTGTTTAATGAGAAACTGTTTTGTTCCGTAAACCTTCATCTAAAGTGAGAATAGCAGCACAACTGGAAGAATGTAATCGATGTCACCGACTTGTACATGTAGAAATTTTTGAAATGGTGTACAGTTGGCTATGTATATTTTCACCAAAAAAAAAAAGGTCCTCCAAGGTTGAGAAGGGAGAGTGTTGACATGTCGTGGGGTTGTTAACCAATGTCATGAAACAATATGTGTACTGACTGTTTAATGAGAAACCAATTTGTTCTGTAAACCTTCACCTAAAGTACAGTAAGAAAAGTTAAAAGAAGAAAAACAGTAAACAAAAACAAAAACCATCCAATCAAAACATAGGTAAAAAGCATGAACAGACATTTCACCAGAGGATACACACGTGGCAAATAAGCACATGAAAAGGTGATCGACATTGTTAGTCAGCAGGGAAATGCAAATGAAAACTCCCATGAGATATCACCTATCACAACGGCTAAAATGAAATACGGCGACAGCACCAAGGGCTGGCAAAAATGTGGAGAAACTGGATTAATTATCCATTTCTGGTTGAAATGTGAAATGGCACAGCCAGTCTGGAAAACAGTGTGGTGGTTTCTCATAAAACTCCACATTTCATTACCTATGACCCAGCACTTGCTCTCTTGGAACTTAGATAATGAAAACTTACGTTCACGGAAAAACCTGTACACACACGTTCATAGATGCTTTGTTTGTAATAGCCAAAAACTAGAAACAATTCAGGTGTCTTTCAACAGGTGAATGGTTAAACCAACTGTAGTACGTCCATATTATGGAATACGACACAGCAATAAAAAGGAACAAACTATTGATACGTGTAGCACCTTGGATGAATCTCAAAATAATTGTGTGACAAAAAAATAGTAGACAAAAAAATACTACACACTGTATGATTCCATTTATATAAAATTCTAGGAAATTCAAACTAATATATAGTGACACAAAGCAGGTGGATGGTTGCTTGGGAATCGGTGGGGGTTATGGGTAGGAGGGAAGGCAGATAGGTATACAATGGGACATAAGGAAACTTTGGGGGATGATGGATATGTTCATTATCTTGATTGTAATGATGATTTCACAGGTGTGAAATGTCAAAACTTTTCAAATGGTATGCTTTACATATGTTCAATTTACCATATATAGATTATACTTCAATAAAGCTATGTAAAGATGTAATGATGTAATAATGTAAGAACCACTTACATGAATTTTTTAGATTTTTCTTTTCCTGACACAGTTGCCTTCCTGTTAGAAATGTTTGAAATGTGAACTCTTTTATGCCATCTTATTAATGGGTTCATTTCTCGCTTTGGCAGAATGAAGATCTGACTCTTTTAGTTAAAGAAATGGAGCAGGGGAGACGTGACCTGGAGAAGATGCAAGACCTTTATTCCGAGTCCTTGATCATGGACTGGTGGTACAACGGAGAGAAGGAAGGAGAGAATAAGTGAGGAGCCCTGCCACCTCAGTTCTCCTCCCAAATGCTCTGCTCGCCCTTGTAGATGCTTCCTGAGATTTCTTTTAGTGGAAAGAATCATATACTATGGTTAAGTTGGGATTTTTTAGGCAGAGCATTCGTAATGTAATAATTCAATAATAATGGGCTCGCAGCTACACCTGAGACTAGTTTTATGTTTTATCTCCACCCAGGGTGGCCAGGCCCCACAGCCCACATGGTGAAGGGGCAGAGCAGGAGTGCTGGGTCATGGAGGGAGGTTTGACTCAGGTGTCAGGAGGACTAAGCGGTGGACTTCACTCTGTGTGACCTTGGCGAATCCCTTAACTTGCGTGCAAACCTCTCCATTTCTCTGGGTCTCATTTCTCATCTTTAAAATGGCGGCTGTGATGGCGGGGTTTGGGAGCGACAATGTCTACGGTCTTCTTCCACTCTGTTGCTGTTGCCATCGAGTTGGTTTGACTCTTCGTGACCCCGTATGTGCAGAGTAGAACTGCTCCAGAGGGTCTCCAAGGCTGTGACCTTGAGGAAGCAGAGTGCCAGGCCTCTCTTCCGAGGCACCTCTGTGTGGGTTTGAACTTGCAGCCTTTCAGCGAGTAGTCAAGCGCTTAACCATTTGCAGCGCACGGGGCCTGCTTTTCTCAGTCTATATGCTAATATATTTCTAATTAGTTGCTTTTAAACAAAATTCAAAATCACTCCCAACCCTCGGAAAAATCCATCAGATCTTATTAAAATGATTTAACACTGATTCAAGTATCAAAACTTCATATAAATATCCTAACAGAAAGATGTCTTTTTAATTAAAAATGATAGAAAAACGGAAGTCGTTTTAAAATATGTTTATTAATCAAGATTTCTTGTTCATCAGAATTTACTTCCTATTAGCATAGTCAGATTTAATCTGGGCTGGGGGGCAAGACATGGGCGTGGAATCAAAAAAGAGAGATAAATGTTGTAACGAACCATCTCATAATGAGACGTTACGGCATTATGTTTTAAGCGTGTGTCTGGGGAAGCTCAGATGCGTCTTCTAAACTCGGGGAACGTGGACAAACCAGTATACCGGCTGCTGTGGAGTGGTTCCGACTCGTGGCGACCTCACGTGGGTCAGAGGAGAAGTGTGTGCCCTAAGGTTTTCAGTGGCTGATTTTCCAGAAGAAAACTGCCAGGTCTTTCTCCCAAGGCACCTCTGGGTGGACTCAAACTGCCAATCTTTCAGTTACTAGCTGAGTGAGTGAACCATTTGCACCACGCAAAAAAAAAAAAAAAAAAAAAAAAAAAAACCCAAACCTGTTGCCATCGAGTCAATTCTGGCTCATAGGGACCCTGTAGGACAGAGTAGAACTGCCCCATACGGTTTCCACGGATCGGCTGGTGGATTCAAACTGCTGACCTTTTGGTTAGCAACCTGAGCTGTTGGCCACTGTGCCACGAGGGCTCTGAATTTGAACATATAAACTAAGAATAAAGTGAAGAGACATCATTGCAGTGTAAATGACCTTCTCTGTACTCACAGCCAGTACTTTGGCTGTCTTCTTCCCTTCGGTTAATCACACTAAAAATCTCAAGACAGAATGACCAACCATTGCCTGGAAGTTGGCTTGGTCAGTTGACTCAGTGTCTACTGTTTGATGGAGAAGTGGATACATTCTTGGTTTTTTATATGCCTTTTGAGGGCAGGGGAGGACAGGTTCTGGAGTTAGGCAGAAAAATGTTATAATTCAGGCTCTTAGCCATTACATGCTAGGTAACTTTGGGCAAGTTTCTTAACCTCCTTGAACCCCAGTTTCTCATCTATAACACAGGGACAGTGGTGGGTGGGTTAAATGAGAGTCTGGCGCATGGTAAGAGCTCTGAATTAATATGAAGGAACATAGAAGGCACCGCCTCACCCTGCAGATATCATGTGCCTGTACTTTCCTGTGGAGCCCTGGTGGTGCAGTGGTTAAGAGCTACAGCTGCTAACCAAAAGGTCAGCGGTTGGAATCCCCAGCTGCTCCTTGGAAACCCTATGGGGCAGTTCTACTCTGTCTTCTAAGGTCACTATGAGTCAGAATTGACTTGATGGCAACAGCTTTGGCTTTTTCTTTTTTTTTTTTGGTACCTTCTTATAGAGGGCAGTGATGGTTCAGCGGTAGGATTCTCCCCTTCCGTGCAGGAGACCCAGGTTCGATTACCAACCAACACACCTCATGTACAGCCACCAGCTATCTGTCAGTGGAGGCTTGCGTGTTGCTATGACGTTGAACAAGTTTTAGCGGAGCTTCCAGACTAAGACAGACTAGGGAGAAAGACCTGGTGATCTACTTCTGAAAACCCTATGGATCACAATGGTCCAGTCCCACTAATGACAACAATACCTCCTTATAACTTAACGTCTTTGTTGTTGTGTGCTATCAAGTGGATTCCAACTCAGCCCTTTTAGCTGCGGTTAACACCAAGCTCCTTGTTCTAGTTTTCCACCAAGTGAAAAAATGTTTTGACCCCTAAGTCCCCCTCCCTTCCTTCTCGTCTGAATTGTCAATTGAGCACAAATCACATGTCAGGCAAACTGTGCTAGGCCCCTGGGATGCACAGATGAATGTGAACCTTCTCCTCATGGAATGCAGTGGGGCAGGGGATGCAGATACACAAAGGATCATGGGACTCGGCTGGATGTGCAGGGTGGTGCAGTGTTATAGGGCGGATGGGGTGGGGCATGAAGGAAGGAGAGCATGGCCCTGAAGAAGTACGGAGGGTTTCTGCAACCCCACTGAACGCCCTCCAGCTCCGTGGTGTGTGGCTCCTGTCCCACCCGCCTCCCTTCTGGGAACAGGGCTCCCCATGCCTTTTCCGCACACCCCCTCGCAGCATTCGGATTTTGCAGACCTGCAGCAGGATACATTCTGCCAACTCTCCTTTCTGCAGCTGCGATTTCAGAGCTTCAGAGAAGGCGTGCTTGGGCAAATACTCAGGCATTTCCGGGGTTCCTCCCAGCCCCAGACCTTCTCTAGAGCAGTTTGCTGCCATGGGGTGCTGGCAGGTGGAGGTCCAAGCGGGCGTCTCCCTTCTCTAGCTCTTGTAAGAGCTTGCTCTTCAACTGTTTGATCAGAGACATTGATTCCTATAATGCTTTCTGGTTTACAATCTGCTCTTCCTGGTGCTAATCCTCATGTCAGCCCCACGCGGTAAGTTCACAGGTGATGTTTCCTTCGGTGTATAGATGAGAAAAGTGAAAACATGTAGAGAGGATTCAGTGACTTCCCCAAGGTCACACCGCCAGAAGGGAGCAAAGCTGTGATTGAAGCAGCATTGGCTGACCCCAGGGCTGGACCCATGTCCGCGTTGCTGCCTGGGGCTTTGAGAAATGTCTGTGCTTACCTCTTTAGGTTTGCAGTAGTCAACACGATTGTTTTGATATAACTCTGCCTTCTTGATGAAATTTTTTTTTCCTTTGTCCACTTTTTATTTACATCAAAGCAGGCACCAAAAAGAAATCTCTTCTCTGGTTTCAACCTCAGAAAAATGCGCAAAACCTCAACCTGATGTTGAATCAACCGAAACATCATCTCCATCTGCGTCAAAAGGACAGGGGGGTCTTCCAAATCAGAGGAGTCAGAGAAAGAAGGTCCTCCACGCAGGTATCAGTGACTGCAAAGGCTTGAATCTCATTAACAGTTTTCCTTCAGTGCAAGAGGGTAGATTAAAATTAAACCCACAGAGTATTGTATAAGAAGCCCTAAACCAGTGTAGCTGTTTTTTTAATTGAAATGTTATTATTGAGATAATTCTACATTCACATGCAGTTGTCGGAAATAATACAGAAAGAGGTACTTATGCTTCTAAGTCGTGATGGACAGAACACATTTACAGTTAGTGTGGTTTATGTCATCAATTATGAAAACTAATCAAGATGTCTTGGCACAGGCTCAGCGTCCTCTAAAACAGACACATTAAATGTCATTATTTGCTAAGTGTCCAGTTTCTAGCTGAAGGGACTCAACAGAAGGTAGAAAATAATATTAGAAAAGGGTCTGGACAGCAACTGTGGTAGGCAGAATTTCTAAAATGGCACACCAAAGATGTCCCACCCTAATCCCTGGAACCTGTGAATATGATGAGATCACTTCCATGATTATGTTATGTTGACCTTAAAAAACAACAGCAATAAAAACAATTGCCATCAAGTTGATTTTGACTCATGGCAACCCCACATGTGCAGAGTAGAACTGAGCTCCATAGGGTTTTCAAGGCTGTGACCCTTTGGAAGCAGATCGCCAGGCCTTTCTTCTGAGGCACCTCTGGGTGAGTTCAAACCACCAACCTTTCGGTTAGTAGTCAAGTGCTTAACCATTTAACGTAGTCCAGTCCTAGGTTGACCTTAAGATAGGGTTATCCAGGTGGCCCAGTATAATCACATGAGCCCTTAAAAGCAAAGCACTTTCTCCAGTTGGTGGCAGAAGAGAAAGCCAGAGAGATTCAAAGCACAAGGAAATTCAGGTGCCATTGCTGGCTTGAAGAGGGACCGAGCCCCATTAAGGAACAAAGGGAAGCCCCTGGCTGATAGGCAGCTAGGAACAGAGGCCCCAGTCCTATAATTGCAAGGAGCTGAATTCTGCCAAGGAATTTATTGGGCCTGGAAGCAGATTTCTCCCTGGAGCCTCCCGATAAGAGCCAAGCTCAGTCAACTCCTTGATTTTGGTCTTGTGAAACCCTAAGCAGAGAACTCGGAGCCCACCCAAACTTCTGATATATACAACTGTGAGATAATACATGGGTGGTGTTTTAAGCCACTGTTGTTGTTAGGTACTGTCGAGTCAGTTCCGACTCCCAGTGACCGTGTGTAACACAGAATGGAACACTGCCTGCTCCTGCGTCATCCTCACTATCGTTGCTATGTTTGAGCCCATCCTGTGTCAACCCATCTCACTGAGGGTCTTCCTCTTCTTCGCTGACTCTCTACCGCTTTTTAAGCCACGAAATTTGTAATAATTTATCACAGCAGTAGAAAACTCAGACACCAACGTAAAGCCTCCTTGTTGTGAGTGTTTGTATCTCACCAACAGACTCAGGAAAGTTTAGAAACCTGTAGGATTCGCCGCCTTAATACCTTGAGTAACTTTAGCTGACTCCCTTCTCCTGTTGGGAGTTTAAATGGCAGTCTCTGCTCTGTTCCTTGTCAAAGAGTGGATGAGTGGAGAGTTTCTCTTTTTCATTCTGCCATTCTAGTCAGACCCCATCTCCATGTCTCCTTTGGGCAAACCTGATGGGACAGATTGGCGTCAGGCATTTTTTCAGTTACCTGAGGACTCAAGAAGTGGGGCCTGGGGTGGAGACCTTCCAGGAGGCAAGGAAGAGCCTTGTGAGCATCTTCAGTGAGTGGTCAAGGCTGGATCAGACCACTCTACACAGGGTGAAATCAGTAGAACAAATCTGAACTCAGAACCAGGGAGAAAAAGGTAGTCAAGTAGTATCATGGAGAAAAAGGTAGTCAAGTAGTATCATGGAGAAAAAGGTAGTCAAGTAGTATCATGGAGAAAAAGGTAGTCAAGTAGTACCACAGAGAAAAGCTGGATTGCAACTCAGCAGGATAGTCATGCCAGGAAAGGTGAAAGGATGAAGTCACAGGTGGCCAGTGGCTTGGGATCACCTGGTCCTGGTCAGGCTGATGCAGTCACAGACATCTTGGATGCCACCCGGACAAGACAGATCCACTAAAGCGTCTTCACAGTGCAGGAAGGTGGGGAGGAAGGAAAGTCTCTCCCAAAGAACTGCCTCCCACTATTTTTTCCCAGGTTTTTTTTTTTTTGCATGATCTGATGAGGCTGGTACATTGCGTTGTTTTAATGACGTGAACCCATAAAGCTTGAACTTGGCGTAACTTGTTCTTTGGAATCTAACACCGTTTATGTTAGAGGGGCACACTTGCATTTGCTGCTGCTGCTGCTGTTTAAACTCATCATAAAAGAGTGTGTACAAGGCTTTTGTGCTTGATTTAAATAGTCTTATATGCAGCCCTGGTGGTGCAGTGGTTAAGCATTTGGCTGCTAACCAAAAGGTCAACAGTTCGAATCCACTAACTGCTCCTTGGAAACCTACAGGGCAGTTCTACTCTGTCTTATAGGGTTACTATGAGTCAGAATCATCTCCACAGCAAGGGGTTTTTTTTTTTTTTTTTCATATGCAGCCTTAGAGCCCTGGTGGCGCAGTGGTTAAGAGCTCAGCTGCCAACCAACAGGTCAGCAGTTTGAATCTATCAGACACTCCTTGGAAACCCTGTGGGGCAGTTCTACTCTGTCCTGTAGGGTCGCTATGAGTCAGCATAGACTCAAGGGCAACGGGTTTGGTTTGGTTTTTTGGTATATGCAGCATTGTCCCGTTGTGAAATTTGAAACTGTATCTGTGCCTACCTCTAAGAGGGACAGAGCTTGAACTCAGATAAGGGGAGGACGTGATTACTGCAGCATTCAGTTTATGGTAGAACCATCCTCCGGGGATGGGAGAGAAAAGCTACATCCTTCCTTTAAGGATCTGAGGAACTGGTTGTCTCTCGTGGAGTGTCTCCTTCCATCTCAGATTCCTTTAACCCCTCTCCTTGGGATACCAACAGAGCCAACCAAAACCAGCCTGCTCAGAAGCCAGATGTCCACCCTCCGGAGCTCAGCCTGCTGCGACAGGAAGGACGGCCTCTCCAGCTGCAGCAGCCGGAACGTTGCTTCAAGCGGCCAAGACAAGCCGGCAGAGGGTCTGTATCTCGGGAAGCCTGGCCCATCTCTCTTTGCCCAGTATACCTGTCCTGAAAGAGCTGGGTATAGGTATGTTTGTGGGGAAATGAGTCATATTTATGGGCCCAGATAGCTTCCTATTCAAAGGAGTCCTTGTCACTCAGGTCTGCCTGCTTTAGAGGACCGGATTGTCTTAGTCCTAGAAGCACTTGGACCCATTCTGCTTAAGTGTTTAATGTACACGTGGCTCACAGACATATAGCGCTAACGGTAATGCTTGCTGCCACTCTGTGGTTTGAATTTGAAACTCGTGGTTAAGAGCTGAAGCAGCTAACTAAAAGGACAGCAGTTCGAATCCACCAGCCACTCCTTGGGAACCCTCTAGGGCAGCTCTACTCTGTCCTACAGGGCTACTATGAGTCGGAATCGACTTGACGGCTCATCTGATGAGCCCCTCTCTGGTCCAAATGGTCAGCCTTTTGGGGCCTAAATGTGAGGAAAATATGACTCCTATTCAATTTGTATTACTGTTGATAAAATTATTATTATTAAAATAATAAATTTTGAAAAGTTCAATTCCTGTAGTACTGTTCTCTATATTTAAAAGTCGATAAATAATCTTTAAACCTTAAACCAAAAATATCCTCTGAAGTCAACTTAAACCCAAACAACAGGTTCGCCTAACTCGTGAAGAATGTCTGCCTGGAGCATTATGCTCTTTTAAGAACTCGCTGTATGCGATCAAAGTGACAACAGCAACTGGAAAAATTAGGCGAGAACCTTCCGGGGCAGTGAGTTTATGTTAATGAGGCAGGAACAACTCAGAAAAGGAGGGTGAGAATGTAATCAGTGTCACTGAGTTGTACATGGAGGAATTGTTGAATTGGTGTATATTTTGCTGTGTATATTCTCAACAACAACAACAAAATATACATAATTAAAAAAAAATACACATGCATACAACCCCCTGAGTAGCAGGAAGCACTTGAGTAACAAATTTGTGCGTGTTGTTACTCAGTCGTAATTTAATCAGGCCCTGACTTCTTCAGTGCTGAGCCGTGTGACTGTTTTTCCCTCGGTTTTAGCGAGCCTGTCATATTTCCTAAGCCCAGTACACGCCCAGCCTTTAAAGGATTTGTCACCATCAGGGGATGATCAGGATATGATTTCTTAGGCATTTGACTGACTCACCCCACACCTCCTTAGATGCTGCTGATTCGACAGGTAATATTTCTTCCCATTTATAAATGCAAGTTTATATAAGGATATGGACTTTAAAAAAGGAGTCCTGGTGGCACAGTGATTAAAGCAGCTCAGCTGCTAACCAAAAGATTGGCAGTTCGAACCCACCGGCCACTCCACGGGAGAAAAATGTGGCAGTCTGCTTCTGTAAAGATTACAGCCTTGGAAGCCCTCTGGGGCAGTTCTACTTTGTCCTGTAGGGTCACTATGAGTTGGAACCAACTCCATGACAATGGGCGTTTTTGATTTTTATACTTAAAAACCCAAATATTTATTTTAAAAAATTTGAACCTACAACTAAACAGAACCTACTAGTGTTTTTGGTTTTCCACATAGAGCTGAGGAACCATGGCACAAATTCTCAAAAAATAAAATGTTGATCAAGGCACTCCTGCATAATTCTGGGGGAGTCCAAGGATCTCAACATCGAACAGTCGTTGGTTAATGGTATTCCTATCTTATTTAGTATTTTTCAAATGTGTTTCCTGGAGAATGAGAGAATGAATATGCCTTATTCTTCCATGAAGAGAGAACTCAATGAATGTGGGTGAGGTAGATAAGGAAAACAATGGCACATACTTATCTACACCCTGGTCTTTAGTGCAAATTGCAAGTAAGTCTTGCCTTAGAACCTCATGTGACAGATCAAGTTGTGTTCCCTGAAATATGGTCCATATGATGGAACTGAGAGACAAGTGTGATCCTTTTGCATTTTGATATAAATACCACTTAGGAGGAGATTATACAACTGCCGTTTCTCCTTCCACAGACATGCGCGTCAGCCTGCTGACAGATGATTATCCAGATGACAGATCATTAGAAAGATCGACTCGAGAAGGAAGCCAAGTTTATGACCAAGAGTGAGTGTTTTAATTTTACTCATGAGTTGAAATCGACTTGACAGCAACAGGTTTGTTGTTGTTGTTGTTGTTGCTTTTAGGACAGTTTCGTTATGTTTTTGTTTGTTATCCATTGAGTACACATGATTTTTAAAACATCACAGTCTTGTGTTCTTTAGTTCTTTAGATATGTCTTCAGCAAACTGGCTCAAGACCCACGGCTTGGTTGCCAAGAAGCTCACCATCATGGATGCCTTGTCGGTGACAGCAGTCCCTCACACCACCACCTACATTCCGGTTCTGGACAAGCATGTTGCTTCCAAGGTCTTTGATGAGGTAAAACTGATTGTTCGTATGTCCCTGGTTGAGGAATTTTTTTTCTCTTAGTTCGTTTTTTTTCCTAAATTGTATTTATTTTGTTGTTGCTGTTGAGAATATGCACAGCAAAACATACATCAATTCAACCATTTCTACAAGTACAATTTAGTGATATTTATTACATTCTTCGAGTTGTGCAACCATTCTCACCCTTCTTTCCTGAGTTGTTCTTCCCTCGTTAACATAAACTCACCGCCCCTTAATACTCAAAGCATACCTTTTGTACTAGTTAAGCTAAACTATTGTTCAGTTTTAAAATGACTTCAGGGGATATTTTTGGTTTAAGGTTTAAAGATTACCTCAAGGAAATAGCTTCAGGGGTTCATCCAGCCTCCATGGCTCCAGAAAGTCTAGAGTCCATGAGAATTTGAAATTCTCTTTTGCATTTTTCCCCTTTTGATCAGGATTCTTCTATAGAATCTTTGATCAAAATGTTCAGTAATGGTAGCCGGGCACCATCCATTTCTTCCGGTTTCATGACAGAAGAGGCAGTTGTTCTTGGAGGCAATTAGCCACACATTCCATATCCTCCTCCTATTCCTGACTCTCCTTCTTCCTCTGTTGCTCCAGGTGAACAGAGACCAATTGTTGTGCCTTCGATGGCTGCTTGCAAGCTTTTAAGACTGCAGGCACTATGCAACGAACTAGGAGGTAGAACAGAGGCACTGAACATGTTATTAGGCCAGTTAACTGGGATGTTCCATGAAACTATGATCGTAAACCTTCAAACCAAGGGGCCAAATCCCATGAGGCGTTTGGTTGTACATAAGCAGCCTCAGCAGCTACTCTGTTTTTCGTTTTTGTCATTGTCGTAAATGTATCTATCACACACCTTTTGCCAATTCAACTTTTTACAGATGTACAACTTATTGACAGCAATTACCATCATTGGCTATGCAACCCTACCCTTAACAAAAGTGATTTTTCCATCACTATTAACCCCTTTTCCCCCCTTCCTCCTCCTCCTGGTAACCACTAATAAACTTTGTTCTCTGTACATTTGCCTTTTCTTGTCTTTTTATGTAAGTGAGGCCATCATACGATGTTTGTCTTTTTATAATTGGCTTATTTTGCTCAGCATAATTTCTTCAAGCTCCATCCCATGCTGTAACATGTATCAAGACTTCATTTCTCCTACTGGCTGAGTAGTATTCCGTTATATGTATGTATCACCTTTTGATGGGCATTTAAGTTGTTTCTACCTTTTGGCTATTGTGAATAATGCTGCAGTGAACATTGGTGTATAAACCTCTGTTTAAGTCTCTGCTTTCAAGTCTTTTGGGTGTATATCTAGGAGTGGAATTGCTGGGTCGTATGCTAGTTCTATTTTTAGTTTTTTGAGGAACTGCCACACTGTTTTCTACAGTGGCTGTACCATTTTGCATTCCCACCAGCAATGGATAGAGTTCTAATTTCCCCACATCCTCTCCAACACATGTTATTTTATGTTTTTGGTTTTTGTTTTTTATCTTTGCCATCCTAGTGGGAGTAAAATGATATCTCATTGGGGTTTTGATTGGCATCTCTCTGATGGCTAATGACGTTGACATCTTTTCATGTGTTTGGTGGCCATTTGAATGTCATCCTTGGTAAAATGTCTGTTCATGTCCTTTGCCTATTTTATGATTGAGTTGTCTTTTTGTTATTAAGTTGTTGAAGTTTTATATATATTTTGGTTCTTAGATTCTTGTTGGATATATGGTTTCTGAAGACATTCTCCGAGTTGGTAGCTTGTCTTTTCACTTTTTTGGTAAAGTCTTTTGATGAGCAAAAGTTTTTAATTTTTATGAGGTTTTGTTTATTTATTTTGTCTTTTGCTGTTTGTGCTTTTGTTATTATATTAGGTAATCCATTGTTGAAAACTAGGTTTGACAGTGTTGCCCCCGCTTGTTCTAAGAATTTTATGGTTTTAGTTTGCACATTTAGTTCCTTAAACCGTTTTGAATCTGTTTTTGCGTGTGGTGTGAGGCATGGATCCTGTTTCATTTTTCTGCATGTGGAAATCCAGTTTACTGAAGAGATTCTTCTTTCCTCATTGAGTGGACTTAGCACCCTTGTCAAAAATCGGTTGACCACAGATGTGTGAGTTTATTTCTGGACTCTCAATTCCATTCCATTGGTCTATGCATCTGTTGTTATACCAGTACCAGGCTGTTCTGATTACTGTAGCTGTATGAACCCACTGCCGTCGAGTTGATTCTGACTCATAGCGACCCCATAGGGTTTCCAAGTCTGTAAATCTCTATGGAAGCAAAACCACCACATCTTTGTCCCACAGAGCTGCTGGTGGTTTTGCACAGCCGACCTTTTAGTTAGCAGTCAATCGCTTTAAATACATGTAGTATAATATGTTCTCAAATCAGGAACTGTGAGCTCTGCTACTTTGTTCTCCTCTTTCAACATTGCTTTTATCTATTTGGGGCCTCTCATTATTCCATATAAATTTGAGGATTGATTTTTCTATTTCTGTAAAGAAGGCTGTTGGAATTTTGATTGGGATTGCGTTGAATCTATAGATTGCTTTGGGTAGTATTGACATCTTAACAATATGAAGTCTTGTAACCCATGAACATGGAACATCTTTCCATTTATCCTGGAGAATGATCCATATTCACTGGAGGATAATGTATAGTGTGCTGTTTTGGGGTGGAGTGTTCTATATATGTCTGTTCAGTCTAGTTGGTTTATAGTGTCATTCAGGCCCTCTGTTTCCTTGTTGATCTTCTTTCTAGATGTTCTGTCTAATATTAAAAGTGGTGTATTGAAGTCTCCAACTATTACTGTAGTACTATCTATTTCCCTCCTCAATTCTATCAGTGTTTGCTTTATATATTTAGGTGTCCTGATGTTGTGTGCATATATATTTATGATTGTTAAATGTTCTTGATTGATTGGCCTTTTTATCACTATATAATGTCCATCTTTATCTCTTCTGACAGATTTCGTCTTCTACTCTACTTTGTCTGATATTACGTTTCCACCCCGGCTCTCTTTCAATTATTATTTGCATGGAGTTTTTTTTTTCCATCCTTTCACTTTCAACGTATTTTTATCCTTGGGTTTAAGTTGTGTCTCTTGTCAACAGCGTATAGTTCGATCTTTTTTTTTTTTTCTGATCCATTCTCCCACTCTCCACCTTTTGATTTGGAGCATTTAGTCCATTTACATTCACTGTAATTGCATTTTTATTAGAAGTGACTTACTTCTGCCATTTTGTTATTTGTTTTTTGTGTGTCTTAAGCCTTCTTTATCTTTGTCCTTTAGTACTTTGTCCTTTAGTGTTTTGTTGGTTTATTATAGGAAGCCTTTTTGTTCCCTTCTCCTTTCCTCTTGTGTATGCTTTTTACATATTTTCTCAGCGGTTACTGTAAATATCACATTTAACAGCTTGTGTTTATAACATTCTAGGGTAAGTTGCTATCAACTCAACTTTAGGAACATACAAGAAATTCTATATCTACACCATTCCTCCCCCACCCCCTTATATTGTTGCTGTCACTAATTATGTCTCTATATTTCATGTGCCCTGTAACATAATTTTATCCTTGTTCTTTTGTATATTTGTTATTAAAAAACATGAAGGACAAAACATTTAGAATTATCAAGCGTAAGTATCTTATTACTAGCCCTTATACTTGGCCATGCGTTTCCCTTTATTAGAAATCTTTCTGTTTATGAATAGCTTTCTAGCGTCTTTCCCCTTACATCTGTTGTTGTTGTTGTTAGGTGTGATCTAGTTGGTTCTGACTCATAGTGACCCCATGTACAACAGAACAAAACACGCCCAGTCCTGCGCCATCCTCATGGTCGTTGTTATGCTTGAGCCCATTGTTGCAGCCTCTGTGTCAATCCATCTCACTGAGGGTCTTCCTCTTTCTCGCTGACCCTCCGTTTTACCGAACATGATGTCCTTCTCCAGGGACTGATCCCTCCTGATAACATGTCCAAAGCATGTGAGATGAAGTCTCGCCATCCTTCCTTCTAAGGAGCATTCTGGCTGTACTTCTTCCAAGACAGATTTGTTCATTCTTGTGGCAGTCCATGGTGTATTCAATATTCTTTGACAGCACCATAATTCAAAGGCGTCAGTTCTTCTTTCATCTTCCACATTCATTGTCCAGTTTTCACATGCATGTGGGATGACTGAAAACACCATGGCTTGGGTCAGGCGCACCTTAGTCCTTACATCTACAGAACTCCCATTAGTATTTTTTGTAGAGCCTCTCTGGTAGATATGAACTTTCTCAGCTTCTGTTTGTCTGGGAATGTTTTAATTTCACCCTCATCCTGATTGAGGAATTTTTCATGTTTTGCTCAAATAAAAAGTAGTTCACTTCAATTTCTTGTTCAGTTATGACAGAAATGTATTTCAGTCATTGAAAAAAAATATTTATAAAGCCAGTAAAAGAGAGAGAGACTTCTAAGCATTTTTTAAAGCTGAGATGAAATTGGCCCTTATAAGGTTGGCAGTTCATGGTTCATTGCTGATGCATGGCAGTATGGAGCTGCAAAGGTATGTGAAAATTGTCTAGGTCTGAGTCGTGATTGTACATCATCCAGTATCAAAGGACCAACGAGAGGGTATTTCCTTCATTTGCCTATCTTCCTTTCCTAAACAGAGTGGCATTTTTCCCCCATTATATAAGCCTCCAAAGGCAAAAGTCAGAGACAGAAGAAAAGACAGACAGAAAGAGAAGGAATCATCATAGAGTAATGTCCCAGGAGGAGAAAAAAACACTTCCGGTAGGAGGACGTAGTAGGATTAAATGTGGAAGAAGGTCAAATAAGTCCTGAAAAGTTTCAGTGCATTTGGCAACTAGGAGGTCAGTGTCCTTAGCAAGAAGAATTCCAGTGGAGCAACCAGATTGCAGTGGGATGAGGAACACGAAAAACAATGAGACCATGAAGATTAAACTCTGGTGCTTCCTGGCAAATATGACAGCAGCTAGCGATTTAAG